AAATATTACTATTTCTAGGTGTAGGTGAAATATATTACAATATTATTAAAATAAGGGAACAATTGTTATGATGCACATGTTTTTGTTGTAACAATATATTTAGACAATTCTTATAAAAAATATAACAATGTTATTTACACATTGTAAAAATTACTAACAAAGAATAAGGACGTTTTTATACTTTTGAAAATTCAGTTTGTCAATCACAGTTTCAACTAACTGAGAACAGTGAGAACTATTTCTTGCTCTCCTGGAAATCCTTATAATAAACTGTTAAAACTCAAAGGCACTTCTTAAATAAAGTGGTTCCCAATTTTCTCCTTTTTGCAATCCACTTAGTGACTGATTGGTTGAAGGCCAAAAAAACATAACAAATTCATCATATATCTAACCAGTACATAAGTTGTAGAAACTAGAAATTGCTGCTTTCTTAGCAATCACAGAACATGGACTTTTTAAAAATAGAAAATATTAGAACTTTGGAAGACCAATATCATTCATAACAGTAAAACCGGCAACAGCTGATCATTTACTTTAAACATATAAAACATGCAAAATTTCAATAACACAATTACAATAGATAGTCTTTTTTTTTATATAGATTAGGTATTAGATTATTTTATAAGTGTAATCTTGCCTATGTGACTCTATATTTTGCAGGCTAAATGCCCTATTGATTTATATCATATTCCTACGGCACAAACCATTATCTGTCATGACAAATTTTAAAAAACAGATTTTTTTATATCAATAACAAGAATAATGAATCTATGAACCAAAAGACAATGAAATTAAAAGGGTATGGGTTATATGATACAAGTGCATAAATTTACTCTAAATCTTACGACTGCTTAGGTTTAAAAAAAAAAAAAAGATAAATATATTGACTTATTTCTTAATTTTAAGGTTAGAAATACCAACATATTACAAAAACAAAAAAAGTGGTTAATGCACTTGATATCAGGAGAGATAACAAAAATTTAACATCGTTCAAACAAATAACATGTGAAGAAATGTAGTTGACCTTAAAGTACACAAAAAACAAATATAATAAGGGTTAAGAGTAATCTCATTTACTGGTACAAATGATTCAATTGAACACTAAAAATGTAGTGCATATAAAAGCAATTGTAACTGACATCAGACTAATAATACTATAAGAATTGAGTAATACTAACTAATACTAATACCAGCAACAAAAAGTTTTTTAAAAAGGAAGGTGCAAACTGTTTTATAAAATCATTAAAAGAATTTATGGTGCTAAATTGAGTGAACGAGTGACCAAGTGCATGACAATGACAGATTGTCCACCCTAAGCTAAAAAACCAAGTGACAAGGGAGATGTTTTACAACAGACCAATTATTTGTAGAGGTGACATTTGCAATAATGCCAAATGGATCATGGAATGAGTCCACACTCCATTGTTAATTAGAAAATATGAGGAATGTCATGTAAACTGATACGTTTGGTCTCTTATAATCAGTGCTAAATCTTTCTGGTACTGGATATGTGATACTGCAACTATCTCAGGATGAAAGATCCAGTTGTCTTCTTCATACGTGTCAACAAAGGTGTAGCTAAGGGGTGGGGGCAGAAGGGGACAGATGCCGGGGGGGGGGGGAGGGGGGGGGGGGGGGCGGGGGGGGGGGGGGGCAGACTAGTTGGGTGTGTCAACATGGGCTTTGGTAGTATTTTATTTCTGAAAATATTGGGTTCTAGAGTTGAGGGGGTTGTAACAATGACTGTTTTCCCAAACACTCTTGCTACGCCTCTGCATCTCAACATCCATTACAGTTACAGAGAACAAAATTATACTACAGAGAAAAAAAAATGAAACCGTAGTTAAAAGTTATACCCTGAGCATATCTAAGCTGTTTAACATATAAATATAAGACAAAACAACAGTACGGATTTCTACCGTCATTTTCTCCGATGATATACCCTAATTTATTTTAATAAAGTGAAAATGTGGATTATCAGAAAAACTTCATAAAGGTGCAGTAGTAAATTATGCCCCATTACTATTACTTTAGTAATAATACTGCTGACAGAAAAATGTCCTTTAAAGGTATGTTTAAAAAAAATTATAGAAATAATAGAATAAACAAGACAATAATTAGTTGTAGCACAGCCAGTACTTCAAGGCAGAACAATTTTTGAGTTGTAAATAATATTTTAATCTCTACCAACACTGTAGGGTGTAAACAAAATATAATCAAGATATCACCAGTTCAGGAAGTTACCACTAGCAGGGTAACTAAAGCCTTTACGGGGCTGGAGAAACGGGAGGCATACACATCAAAATAAATAATTTAGAAATAAAATTATTACAAACCTATGTGGTAAAATATGCATACACAGTTAAAGAGAAGAATAAATTTTAAATGTTTGGACACTGCAGAAATTAATAAAAAATTTGAATTGCTATAAATCTAACAACTTACGAGAATTTACACCACTGCTAACTAATTGATTGTTTGAGTGTTTTTAAAGCAGCCGCAAACAGGGAGGGGGAGATCCAAAATGGAATGTGAGATAAGAAACAGGAACATTTCTTTGCTTTTCTTGATAAACTAATCTATCATAGGCTTCAACATTGAAACACTCACATATAAACGAGCAAACAGAAAACAAATATAAATAGCTCTATCAGCCTTTTAATTTTAGTACTGAGGAAGATTGCACTAGACTGGCTCTAATAAATAGTCTTCAAATTAGCCCTGGCGCTGGCATAGAATCACTGAGGCCAAAACTAAATTACAGAATTTATTTAAGATTATCCTGCCAATTGAGAAAACTACATGAAAACAAAAAATGGAGCAATCAAAGTTCAATAAATAACAATGCACATGCGTATTTACCCTATGATTGAGCCTGTCACCCTAACATGCAAGCACTCTTTTTGCTTCATTACTACAGAGCATTTTAAATTGATTTTTTCAATCTGATCTGCCTGATTTGCAGGCAGTGTGGTCTAGCCAGGCCTCTAACTCTAATATCAACACACTTATTAACAAAGATAAACTGGGTGCTAAACTGGAAAAATTAATAGATTAAAAGTTGAAGAAATATAGCTATAATGATAACTATGTTCATGAAATTTATGAAAACCCCTATGAACATTAAAGGAAATATCAAAGCCCATTTGAATAGCATCAAGAATGGGCACTACCCTGGAAAAGGTTCAATGGCAGGGAGAGGAAGAGGCTGTACAGAAAGATGGGGCTAGTGTTGCTGTGATTGGAGCACCACAGCAGTAAGAAACAAGATGAAGAGATGGCAGAGAAATTGCAGGAAGAAGATAAAGAGATGGCAGAGAAATTATGGGAAGAAGATAAAGAGATGGCAGAGAGGTGCCAATATAAAGATGTGCTGGCTGAAAACACTTTGATTTCCAGATGATGAGTGAAAAAGAGTCTGGAAGATGTTGACCAGAGTCTGATAAACTACTGTAGGAATTGGATCATCCAAGTGTAGTGCCACTAAAATAATTTAATTAAGAAAAGCTTAATGGCTGTATGTGATGTAAATACTATTAATATATTAAGCGTTAACCAGCTATGTGCATTGTTTTCATTTAACAAAAACTAAAGATCATAAAACATTTTAAAATCTCCCATATATAATTGGCGAAAATTATTTACCTGATTAGGTTCTTTAATGCTATGTTTTTGTATCAATCCTATCTGGTCACCTCCAAATCAGTCGCTCTCTAATGAAGCTCTTAATACAGCTGATATAGTAAAGTGTAAAGTTCATTATTTTTATGCCCTCCTCCTCCCCTTTCATGTCTTACAGAACTTATACCATCACTCTGAGTCATATTGTTCCATTTTGTTCACAAAGCTCATTCATAAGATTAAGTATGCATTGTTGAGAAAATGACTTGACAACTATTTTTTTTAATTGCATAATAATAGGAATTTTACAAAATGGTCGATTTCCTTTTTTCTCTTTTAAGTTTTAAAGAAACACCAACGCATTCCTCCATTTCTTAATCAAGTTTAAACCTGTTAAACTTCTCAGAATGGCCAAGTGACTCCAGGAAGTGAAAAGATAAGGCAGAATTTTCTTACTCCACTATTTGCACAGTGGTAAGTAGACATGACTTAACATTGGGGTTATCTTCTCATCCTTTGTAGTCCTAGTTTAAAAGGAGACACGCCCCCCCCCCCCCCCCCCCCCCCCCCCCCCCCCCCTCGCATCTCCCCAACCCACTGAAATGCATGATGAACAACAAAGATCAGAGCTCACTTGTTTGAACATCCAAGAAATAATAACCTGAGCTTAAGGTGAACACGTTAAGAGGATGGTTGTTGCTGAATAGGCATCCAGTCATGTTAAGTTTATTTGTCCTTTTGTTCATGCTCAAACACTTTGACAAAAGATGACAAGAAACTAACCTTTTGTAATTCACTCAGATTCACTGAAACCTTACCATCATTGATGGAATAACAAGAAACAAATATGGCTTTACTTTATAGAACTAAGTAGGATGTATCAAGGACAAAACCATAAAAGAACACCCCCCCTCCTCCAAAAAATATCTCCCTTTTCTTAATGAATAATGCATGGATATTTGGCAATGTAGACTACTACCAGACCAAATACATAACTACCTACCCTGCTGTGATTGTCATTAAACTTTTAATCGAATTATACTGTAAAACTAGTATAGGCAACAGTGCCTTCTGTGGCCACTGATGTAAAAATATTTACCCATACCAGAAATATATACAACAATTAATTAAATTAAGACAATTACACTTAAAAAACCTGTTTAAATAAAATATCTGATATAAAAATCTTAGATTTTGTCAAACTGAATCTTTTCTTGTTTAAAAAAACCCACTGATGTGAGACAATTAAAAAATTTTTTTTATTAAAGTTCACTCATTAAGTACAGTTCTGCAATGAAGTCATTTAATTGAAAAGAATTTTCATATGTTTAAATCTTAACACATGAATTCTCATTTCTTTAAATATTGCTAGGATACAACTCAGCGATAAAAAAACAACTTAATCAACAATATATATAAATATATATGTATTATGATAAAAAACAAATATTTACACGTTTTAAGAGTTTCCAGAGTTTATGCTCCCTCGAGTTTGATTTGCCTTCAGGCGCCAGTTGATCCTTTTGATCCAGTCCTCCATGTCATGCTCAGAAACAGAATAAAGCAAAAAAACTCGCCAGCCCATATCCAATCTAATGACACAGCTTTTGTCTTTTTGTGTGAAATCTTGACGGCATCCCTTACACTCATTGAGATCTAAAACACGTATAGGATTTTTGCTGAACTTTTGCTTATAGTACTTAAGCTCATTGCGCTGTAGCACAAACCACCGAGTCCTCCATGTTTTAAAATGGCGTCCCATCTTTGTCAGGAAACCTTCCTTGGAGTTGACAGAAAAATCTGCACTTATTACCTGCGAATCATCTGCCGTACTAAACTCGGCATGCAAGGTCACAGACTCATACATATCTGGTTCGCTGATATCCCTCGGGTATGGAATTTTCAACAGGACCACCTGCCCTGATTCACCACAAAGGAGCGGTTTGTTTTTGAAATGCTCAACAAAGTCAGCTGCAGATCGGAAGGTGCACTGGCCAAATTTGATATCCAAACCTGTCCACACAATATTGAAGTGCTTGACCGCCTGCTCACACTTCACGGACAATGCGTACTCCCCTGAGCCTTTAGAGCTTTGCCTCAGAAGGTATGTGCCGTCCATTCCATTCTGCATCAACATGCTCTCCGCTGTATGTCTGCTCAATGTTGGATGATACCATGGTAAATTTTCAATCTCTAACGTATCAATTTCCTGCTCCATTACTCTTTAATTTAGTAGAGTGGCCAAGGCATGAATTTGTATTGATAAAAGTCCTGATTAAAATTTGAAGCCTGGGAGTAAATGTAAGTTTTTTAAAAAGTCTTGGCAGGCAAGAGGAATATTTAGATTTCAGGTTTTATTTATGACAAATCCTATTGGCCATTTGGATGAAAGATTAATCAAAGTTGATGCCTACGCTGAGAAAGAAAAAATATATTTGAATGAAAAACATTGAAATTTCTGAAAGTTGTATTAAATATAACAACAATGGGAGTGCTTACTTAGTATTGGTTATTGATTATTTCAAGTTAGTGCTAGTCTCTAATTTTAATGAAATCTGGTATATAAGAATATCTTGAACACTTCATTCACTAAAAGCCAAAAGGTATGGCCTGATTGTATGCATTATATCCAAACAAAGTAATTTGGCGCCTGTCCATATAACATAGAAACAATCAAAATGTGTAAATAATCTCTCCCTAACCACTTGAATAAAAAAATACTTTACTTTCTATATGCATAGTTAAAGTACCTGTTGAGAAATGAAAGCAATTGTTGAAAGTCATAATTTTTTCTAATTATGCAATTTTATATGTGGCATACAAATTATTAGTTATACAAGTATAAATGTAGTTTATGTGTCTGTAGGATGCTTAGAAAATTACAGCGGGCGGATTTCAACCTGCTGTAAAATAAGGACCTCCTGTAAAATTGGAATGTTTTGATAAAAGATTTATTCAAGTTGTGTTTAACTTATGTTGTTGATATATTCTGCTTTTACAAAGGTTTTAATTTTATTGTGTATTAATCAATTTACCCTTATGTTGGGCCATTGGTGAAAGCAGTCTGTAGATATACGTACAATAAGGAATGTAATGTGTTTGGGGATAAAAACTGTTAAGATAAGTAATTGTCTCATATAACACACTTTGATGTACCATACCACTGTTAAGGTATTTTCACAATTTCCTAGCATGTTGGTTTTTATTTTATTTGAGTTTTCAATTTATCAGCAATATGTGCCAATTGTTTTTCACGAAAGTTTATTGGAATTAAATCGCAAAATTCATTTTTCTAATTTTCCTTTAAAAATTGTGAAGATTCATTTTCCCTCATGACAAACAGCCATCCTACCAGAACAAATAATCCGTAGTATCAGCTTTTTAACCCTTTCACTACAGCTGGTTTTGGCATTGATTTTTGCTGACTCAGCAATAACAAACTTAAAGATGAAACGTCCAGTATTAATTCATTCTCTAACCGATTCGCGTATTAACTTTTCTATAGATTATTGAATAAATAAATATAAAGCATTGAAATATGACGCTGATGTGACGTCCTTGGTATTTCAGAAAAGTTCTTTGCATCTTTGTTATGACGACAGTGTGACGTCCTTGGTAATTGAAAGTGTGTGATCGTGACATCGACGATCGTGACGTCGCGTCGACGTCATCGGTAATAAAAAGGTTAAACTTTTACCCTCATTTCTTCACAAATATTCGTGTCCTTTTCATATAATATACGATTAGCATCACTGTGTCCAAAACTTATCTTAACCCATTTATGCAAGAGGTTGTAAATAAAACATTAATAACTTGTGAATTATTTTTTTACAGTATGATAGTATAATAACATAACTAGTTAAGAAGTTTTATTTTAAATAATATTCTAGTATAGGATGTAAGACAGTAAAGTTATATCTATCTTTTGGTGATCCTTCAAAAATTTGGAAAAAAATTTCATCCCTTTTTTTATATAACTACTCAGATCACAGTATCTGAATCAGGGTAACAAACTCTGAGTACCACATGATAATATGAACCCTCAGGAAGCTGACGTGTGAAAAATCAGACCTCTGCAATGATCGTGAGCAGTAGAATATAAATTATTCACACTTCTACCCTTCCAATAATGGAACACCAAGCAAAATGGGTTAATTCATTTGGAATAAAAAAAAGTATGTCTAAAAAAATCCATGAATGTTGGTTTGGATGGCTTATATTCACATGACAAACTACACATTTGGAAAACGCTACTTTAAAGAAAAGACTGAAGGATCATCAGGAGCGGTGCACATATTTTTTTTTTTTTTAATTTTTACCCACCCTTCTACCACTTTTAATGATATACATTTCCATTGACAAACACCATCCCACCCAAAAAAAAAAACTAAACAAGCAAAGAGCCAGAAATATTTTTTTGACGAAATGTGCCAATTATTGGAAACATAAAAATAAAATTTTTATTATCTATACTAATTCAGTAAAGCAAAAATTTTGCAAAGATAAGAAATGTTAAAAAAGTTTTTAAATATTTTTTTAATATAGTCTAACATTGGTCTTGACCATCCCATCCCACATCAAAACAATATTAAAAATGACAAACCACCCCTACCCACTTTGTGTTATATAACATAAGCACAGTTCCCCTGGGCTAAATAATTTTATCATACTTGCATATCAGTATTGTTATGCAGCACATCTTTATTTACAAAAGAAGAGCAAGAAATAATATCTTCAAACCTTACCACCTTTGTGAATGTCTCCAAAAAATCTGGTACAATTATCTTTAAAAATAGCAAAGTTGTGGGTAAAATATCTAGTATATCAAATATAAAACATGTTGAGTAGGGGGAGGGCTGATTGTGAAAAGGAAGCAGCCATATCAGAAGCAAAAAAATATACAAGAGATAGTTTATATAAATATAAGGGGTAGGGGCTTTTAAAACTAAAACTTGACCAAAAAATCATAACACCACTTTCATAAAAAGATAGAGAGATGAATTTGGTGTTTTTTGCAAAAGGCGGCAAAGCTTAAAGTATAGTTTGCCCTTTAAATGATCTATCTTTATTATCATTATCTCAATTGGTCAAAATCAGACAATATTTTAAAATTTCTGTCAAAGTATCTACTAATTTAACTAGCCTAGTGTTTAATATCACCATATCATAATACATCATCTAATTCCATTCTAAGACTTAAATTTCAAATGTTAGGCTAGGGAATCCATATTATTACATTAATTAACAGTAAGGCAGTGTCTACACGTCCGGCGCGCCAGACATATATCGCCCGCACTATTAGTCCGACGACCAAGTTACATGACCGCCGGAAGAATACTTTATCAAGATATTCCTCCCGCAACCAAGTCACATGACCGCCGTAACAAGTAATAGTGAGGTTGATAAATAATTAAGTTTAAGGCGGGGAGGCCGATAGTTCACAAAGAAATAAACGCCTACATCTTAATATAGGGCCGATATAGTAGTAGCCAAGCCTACTTCTCATACAATACTAAATACTAATCCTGAAATACAACCTTATTGACATAGGTCTAATTAAGTCAACTGGTCTTATTTTATTTGGTTCATATTTTCAATTTAGGCTTCAAGGTAGAGATTTACAAGATGTTTAACCAAGATATGGGACTTTATTCATTGAAGTTGAAGAGTTGGAATCTAATTGACCAGTAATAGTAGGCCTACTACTAGTTAGTATTTAGGCCGACTAGTTTAATATTCAAAGTCAAACACTTTATCTTTATGTATCTCAGAGCATTTGAAAATATTAACATTTTCAGCATTTATTTATTATCTAGCCTAGGGATCGGCTGGCTAATATATGTACACAATATTGAAATATCAATTATAAAATGCAATGCAACTATTTTGCCGGCGACCACTTGTCACTTGACCTGCCGGAATAATAAAACCTACTAGTCGGCTGGGTAACACGTGACATTCCCAGCAGGACGTATATCTCCCGCACTATTTGTCTGGCATGCTGGACGTGTAGACACTTCGTAACAGTAAATAACAAACTAAGATTCCTGATCCATGTTGTTCCCATATTTTTTGCCTTGGCCTAACAGTACACACTTAACAGGCTAAGACTATGTACTATGTAGTATGTTAACTTTAGCTTAAGCCTTTAAGTGATATTAAATAAGACCACTTTCTACACTCTATAGTCTATAGATAGTGACTATAGTACTATAGTCATAGTCTATAGTATAGTCATACTATAGTAGATACTTCGATGAAACAAGGGAGACTACTATTTTTTTGTATCGGAAATGGGCGTCGGCGCCGAAAAATCCGAGTTTTTAATTTTCCGATGTGTGTGTCTATTTATTATTAAATTAGTTCTTTGCACATATATTTGAGTTCCGTTTCCGGCCTTATAATTTGGAAGACATCTTGGCCTACATTTCTAGCCAGCTATTTTGCTTTTTTCAATGGACCTTTATTTTGAAAATCTTTGGTATATATAAGGCATCTTCGCATACAAAATTTTTTGTGAAATAATAAGATAAGGTCCTTTTTTATTAAATCTGTATGAGCATTAGATATTGATCTATATCTGTGCCAAGTTTCATTGATGTAGGTCGTGTCCCACGTTTGTTACACTTGTCACAGTGACCCATATCACCATTAGGTGGCTCAGCCTAATTTCGACATGGCTTGGGCCACGCCCCCTTTTTAATGGCGGAAGTTGCCGATACTTAGGAAATATTTAATTATTACCACTATATACATCAAAATATTTTATATTTTGTGTTTCAGAATGCATTTTGAAGACATTTAAACTGGAAATGTTTTAATTTGAGCTTTAAAAACCCTGCAGAGTCCATAATATAAATGATCAGAATTTTCCTTGTGCAACACGTTGTCATTGGCAACCATTCACAGCCACTTGCATAACGGCTACGTTGTAGTACTATCTCAGAGTTTCATTCATAAGAGTTTGCCGTGTGCAAAAGCTATTAAACCATTGGTCAGGGAAAGCTTTTATTAATTATTCATGTGCCAAAGTTGAAAGTTTAAAATAAGTCGACCCTAAACAGTATTTTAGTGATAAGGGAATGCTTTGCCTTATATAAACTATATAGTCATTGCGCATGACGCGATCAGTGGAATGAGGTCACAGAATGTGGAGATGCAGTCAGTCTATGTTAAAAAATGACAAACCAAGTCGTACTTTAAAAATTCATAACTTTAAAACTACAACAGCTAAAAATATGATTTTGGTGTTATAATTATGTTAATTAGCTCTATTCAACTGTGCCATTGGTTTATTTTTAAAAAATGTTTACATTTTTGACCAAAGTATCTACAATGACAATACTCAATAACATTTTTAATATTTTTTTAATAAACCCAACAAACTACAAACTCTCACTTCTGCGACTGATCCCGAATCCCGGGGTCCAAATAATAGCCTCAGCCTTTTCCTAACGTTTCGTTTCCCTACTTTGTAAACTGATTGACACAAAATTTACGTTTTTTAGTTCTAAGTTGTATATAAATATTCACCGTAACAGCCGCCCAAACAACATTCAACCGGAAATTCTGAATGTAGGGAGAAGCTCATTATTTTAAATCTTCACAGGGAGCGGTTATTATTTATTTATTACATCATGTGACCGAGTGTTCTCTGCAATTTTGTCCAATTTTTTTTAGCATTCTGAGAGCCTACCCCTACCCTCTTTAGATGTCAATAACTAAAAAACTAAATAACTGAATTAAAATGTTGAGTTACTGCCCGAAAGAGAAATGATTGCTGAATAAAATGACATAGTATGATTTACTGTGTTTGAGTATCATTTACTGTGTTTGAAAAAAACTTTTTTATTTTATAAAAATTCTGGTTGACTGTGCTGCCTTAGCCTTAAATGATGATCAAATTATTGTAAGCATAAAGCGTAATTATGCCCCAAAACACATTATTGATTGAACATAAAACAAACCAACTAAAAATTGGGTTAGATAATCATCAAAGAAAATGCATGAACAAATTTGATTTAGTTATAGTTATTATGTAGAAATAAACATTTTTAATGAGAGACTCATGATACCGGTACACAAGTGATTAAGGAACACAAGTGATGCTGGTACACAAGTGATGCCATTACTGAAGTGATGCTGGTACACAAGTAATATTGTTACAAAATAAGTTTGTGCCGATTTCTTTGTTGATATTGGCCACAATTATTTCATTAATTCAAAATACTGCAGCATAATGTTGATGAAAAGGAAAAAACTGAACCGTTGTTTTAGTTTTAATAAGTTTAAATTACTTTTCAGTTGTTTGCATCTCGAGACCAAGCTACAGTCAAAGCATTTGGCCATCTTGTAGACCGAACATCAAAACGAGAGAATAAAATTGATGAAGTTGCCGTTAAGCTCCAGGGAGAGCTTGATTCTTTATCTGACTTTCTTGATAATATAGCCATGCGTCGCCCAAAAGGTAACATTCCTTTTATTCTGTCGTGTAACCAAAAATAACTTTTAATGTCTTTGAATAGATATCAAATAATTTCTGTAGTGAAGCCTATCATGTTGGGAATAATATTGTTATTTTTCTTAATTTGCTCTGAGAATGTGCATGATTTCCTCATCAACACCAGTAACAGAAACATTGCAAATCCCATCTACATGCATAGGAGCCAAAATGATCAATAAATTGATCGTGGGCCCTTAAGATATAGAAGAAGAGAAGAAGAATGCTTTAACAGGTGCGAGTTTCAGGCCAAGCGTATGATCTTGACACCACAGAAGGTGGGGGGGGGGGGGGGGGGTGTTGAAGAGGAAGCAGAAGCAAAATAGGCCTATATATAGCCTAAGAGATTTCCATTACAAATAGGACCATATAACTCTCCAAATTAAGGGTGCGACCTATCTGCAATTCAACCACTTTAACAACCCCAAGCTAAGGGGGTCAATTTATATGTAGTAAAAATTTTAATTTTAGATTCCCTCTACATAACGTAAGATCTAATTATATTTTCAGAATTACCAACAGAAAAATGCCAAGTGAAGAGATGTTCAGAGGTCAGGACAGTGACAAAGGGAAAAGAAAAATATCTACATGACAAACGTTAAATTTCAAATTGTTTCATTCGATTAATCTATCAACATTTTTTTTTACATTGAGTTCCTTCTGCTCAATCCTATTTTATGACAGTTATAATTTATGAGGATCAAATATTCCAGATGGTATTAGTAGTAGCATGAACAGATGCAGAAAAAAAATAATAAATTGTTTAAAACAAACAACAGAACATTTTTACTGTTAATTTTAATAAATAAATTCAGTTGTATTAATCTAAAAATTAAAGCAGTATTTGTTTAATTGAAGTAGTTATTACTTATGGTCTTAGAACTAACTATCCTTTTCAGTGCATTCCAAAAACATTATATTTGATGTCCACAGTGAAACTAAATTTAAACTGTTTTGATTAAGTTGAAATTATCCCATTTTAAATAAATTCATCAGTTTACATTTCTAGAAATAGCAGTATCCCTCAGATAATAATAATATGCATAATAAGTATACTTCTAAGTGCTGCATTTTTATTGATAATATATATTTTTTCTGTTGACCACCCTTTCCATAATGAAGGTTGTGTATGCTAATGCTGAAAGTTGTGTATGCTAATGCTGAAAGTTGTGTATGCTAATGCTGAAAGTTGTGTGTGCTAATGCTGAAAGTTGTGTGTGCTAATGCTGAAAGTTGTGTGTGCTAATGCTGAAAGTTGTGTATGCTAATGCTGAAAGTTGTGTATGCTAATGCTGAAATTTGTGTTTGCTAATGCTGAAAGTTGTGTATGCTAATGCTGAAAGTTGTGTATGCTAATGCTGAAAGTTGTGTATGCTAATGCTAAAATTTGCATCCTCCCTCCCCTAAATTTGCGGACAACTACATCCGGAATAATACAGTACGTATAGCCAGGAAGTGTAAATACTATCATAAAGAGCCCAAAGTCACTAGATTTAAACTTCAAAAGGAGTCTGATAATATACATCATTTGAATAAATGATAAAGTCAACTAGAACTGAAAAATTTGAGAAAATTTAGATAAAGCAAAAAACTCACGATTAAATAGATAGATTCCCCTCATGATCAAATCTCCCCTCTTTTTAGAAATCCCTTCTGAAGTGAGCTCTGGAAAACCCTTGTTTCTTTTTAAACCCTGAATATAGGGCTTCTATATTTCCACCAGGCATACATTTTGAAATATTTGTCTTTTGTAAATAAACAATTAGTGTCCAAGGCCTACACTGCAATTCAAAAATGCTCTTAATCTGTTTAAATCCCTATCAATAAGTAACAAGTAATGTAAATTAAGTTTAGTAATTAAGTATAGACTAACCAAAATTTACATTGTTTAGTAGCTCTCAGATTTCAAATTTATAAATAATTATGACACATTTTGATGAACACAATCTTTGTAGTTGTATTAAACATCTAACCAAAAAGGTCTTTGACTGAAGTTTGGTTGCCCTTGGAGTTCACTAACTATTGGCCAAACCAGGATAATTTGTATTAAAACCTCTACAAAAAGTGAACAAATAAACACTACATTTCAATTATTAAAAAGGAAGAAAAATCAAATATCACAACAAAAAAACAAAATTAAACAAATATTTTCAACAACTTTTAATGCAACAAAGATAAAAAAGACCTCATAACATGTACATTGTCCAGTTAGTTAAAAATAAATTGTTTATGCATGCTAATATATTTATCTTATGAAAAAGTAAGGTAGTGAATTTATGATGTAATGGTGGATGGTGTATAATGGTGGGTGGTGATGACATGCACATCATATAAGTTTAGTTTTTAAACCTGTTATAAAGTTAGATATTAACAATATCAATAAATTTCATCGTCCAGATTATCAAATTTTAGAGGAATAAAAACTTTCAGAAAATGTTTTCAAAAAAGAAATGAAAATTGGTTTGAAAAATGACCAACCTTTAAGTCTAACTCTGTCTGTCTTAGAAGCTATAAGTTATAGTGAAATAACATTGATTTTAATTACATTGGATTACAGTAGTTTTGTATTTCACTCCAAGTTTACTGCTGAAGGCCACACGAGGTTATTGAGTCTAAGTCTAAGAGAATTATCATTCTGCCATATATAATTATCTCTATGAGGTTTAAAAAGAAGTCTCCCTAAATTCATGTCTTTACTTAGTCTGCACACTTGCCAATAAGTTAGAAAAATAATTGAACAAAGCTGAACCACTGAATATTGCACTGACAATCATTAACAAGCATATTCACTTGTCAATTTCAAGAACATATTTTCAAGGTGTAAGTGACTGAATGCTTAATGCAAATAAATGAAGGTACTAATAAGACAATTTATTAGCACTATGCTTCTAGTCATGGTAAATAATTTCAAGTATTTGGAAATTAGAGCATATCCTGAGTTTAAAAAAAAGTTTAAAATTTTTATCTGATAAATAAAAGAGGAATGATTATGTAAGGCATTGAAGCCAGAGTTTCAGACAGGATCCACTTGACAATGTGACATGTATTATTTATCAGACCATTCATTACACATGAACAATTTATTTATTCTGAGAATTACCGGTATATAAAATTATCAATAAACTTTATTTTAGTAACGACTTAATTATTTATATATTTTTAAAGATTCTGTTCATGTGAAGCAATAGTTTTCAATTTATTAAGCGGCAGGCCTTATGTCCTTTTCATAAGTATAAAAATAAAGCACAATTTCCCATTTCTCCCAAAATGTTTACTTAAATGTCATTATACATTAGTAATAGTCATGAGCATACTTAGGTATGTACCAACCTAGTAATAGTCATACTTATATATACACATACCTAGTAATAGATAGCCATACTAAGATATACACCTACCTAAGGGTTCACATTTTTCTCTATTACTTTATACAAAATTTGTACGCCTTACAAAGAAAACATCAGTTTAGTTTTTAAATTAAATTCATCCGTTGTTAATTGTACGAAGAAGGCATCTTGCTGAAACATCAACTTAATTTTATTTTATTTTTAAAGCCTAAACATATCTCATACCACTATATATTTAATTCACATAGAACTAACTTTTTTCTGTAGATGAAGTTCAATACGCGGTACCGGAAAAGGTTAAACATATTTCAAAATGACAAAGAACTGTATGCCTGGATGAATGCTTGCCGATCGGAATTTATATTAAATGTCTTTGAATTTGAAAGTGATGTTATTTATGTGATAGAAATAAAAGATAAAGAGATGTGGAAGGAAAAATTTATAAAATGATTTCAGTAAATCATAAGTATTCAAGCAGGTACTTAATAATATTTACATTGTGCATTAACCATAATGGAAGATATGGAAATAATTAGGTCCCAAACAAGATTTAAATCACACTCTACAATGTTCATACACATGGCTTTAAATTATAAGTCTCTAAATGTTCCTAATGCTTTAAATCAAAAGTCTTTAAATGTTCCTGATTTCAGTACCTCTAATGTGGCTTACAAACAATAAAATTGTACATCTTTTTAAATATATTTAATTAATATATATATATAATTCTAAAAAAGCAGCCCTTTTGTAACTTTAAAGATATTTATTTGAGAACCTCAGTTGTTAGTCATTCCGAAATAATGAACCATTGCAGATATTCAGTTAAAATCATTGGATCATCATGGATTATAATATAAAACAATAAAAACCTAAAGCTAAATAGATTTCAGTTTTTTCATTTAAAATAATTTTATTAAAACTATTGGGAGAAGTTTAGAAATGCTTTATTTAGTCTCTCTATAAATAAATGTAATAGATTACCAAAACAGCAGTTTTAAAAGCTCAAATAACCCTTGGCTTTATTTTGGTAGTCTTTCTTGTTCACATTTACAGTACAATATTCTGATCTATCCCAGCATGTTGCTTGGGCCAGATGTCCAGCTTAAGTAATGCTTCATCAGATCCCAGCGTTTGCTTGGGCCAGATGTCCAGCTTAAGTAAATGCTTAATCAGATCCCAGCATGTTGCTTGGGCCAGATGTCCAGCTTAAGTAAATGCTTAATCAGATCCCAGCATGTTGCTTGGGCCAGATGTCCAGCTTAAGTAAATGCTTAATCAGATCCCAGCATGTTGCTTGGGCCAGATGTCCAGCTTAAGTAAATGCTTAATCAGATCCCAGCATGTTGCTTGGGCCAGAT